CCCCCCCCCCTCCCCCATTATTGGGGCTGAGGTAAGAAAATTTATGATTATTTCACTTCTACATGGCCGGAAACGGCACTCTTGGCCCAAAATTCGGATTATAATTTTCCTTTTTCCCATTTTTTCTTAGGGGATGGGGCCCGGGTCGTCTCGCCGCGCCCCCACTTGAATTATGACGTCATTGCGAGATTGCGTCAACGTACATCGGAGTTCGTAAACTTGTGGTATCACTACTTTAATAAATCGAAGTAGCTAAACCTGTCCGTGTCAAATGCTGTTTAATTATTGTTTAATAACGGCTATATAAAACTCAATTGAAAAACTATAATTTTGTTGAAATTAGGAATAACAGGTTCTATGTATGCAGATAATATTAAACACCCTATACGGGTCATAATAATATACAAAAGGAACAAATCGTTTATGGTAGAAATTGTGTATATTTCCCTTTGTAAAAATATTGGCCTAATAGGTTTACAGGCTTCCAATTTTAACAACGTACAGTAGTACATTGTTTTCACAATAAATTTAGACTCTGATAACCGTTGCACCTACAAAAAACTGAGATGGTTAGCGGTATGAAATGTACTAACAATTGCGTTTTTACTCGGTTTTGGTCGGGAAATACAAACCGCACTTGGAAAAAAGCACAAATGAATAGACAAAATTCATGACAGTGATGCGTAATTGTTGTTCCTTTCCACTCGTGGGGTTTTAACTGTAGAAGATTGGTGAAAAGTGGGGAGAGCAGACAAGTGATATGATGTCCCCCCTACTTTGAAAAGTGGGGGACGTACCGACGACCATGTGGTAGGATAACCTGAAGTGCAAGTTCTTTTTTTTCTAACAAAATAAAGAAGAAAAGAAAATTATATTAAAATTTAAGTCCGAGAGTGCATTTCCAAGGTGCCACGCTTGCGACACAATGCAAAAGTTTGGTGAAGTATTTTTGGGTCGCGACTCATAGTTTGGAAAGCATGGCATTAAACCATACCGACCTATGCCTCTCCAAGAAAAACGTAGCAAAATTAAATGTTTTTGGGTGGCCATACATAACTTAAAATCTAGTGGCTACAGCTCTGTGGTGGTTGAGTTAGCTAAAACACCACGATAAAAACCAGCTTTTAATAACTATCCAACTACAGTATAGTACTGGTTAAAATCAATAAATTGATACATTTTTCGTCTGCAAGGAATGCAGTCAACTACGATATTGCACACAATTGTTTGGTAATATTTTAAACATTTTCACTTCTGTTCCATCTTGTGTGGTTCTGTTTGGTACTGTGTGGCGTTTAGCAGAAAAATCCGCTTCCACATACTGTAATGTAGTTAAATTTTTATAGCGCTTTACACAGAAACGGTCTCAATGCGCTCGAGGTGTGGACAGCTCCTACAGTAACACCTAAGAGTTTATTCATGTCTGAGCTACCGGTAAACTGGTACCAGCCGGGGGCGGATTTTGGATTCATTTTGGGAAGTTAAAAAAAAGGGGGAAAAAAAAGAAAGAAAGAAAAAGAAAAAAATGATAGCCCACAATGCCTCAAATGTTATTTTCGGGCGTCTAGAACACAAAAATTTCGCGGGGGCATGCCCCCAGACCCCCTAGGACATTGTTGTCTCGATCGGCCCAAATTTCGGCCCCCCACTTTTCGACATCTCTGGATCCGCCCCTGCCAGCTACTCTCGTTTGTCCACAGCAGGGGGGGGGGCGCTGAATGGACCAGTACACCAGGGTAACAGCCTACATAAGTAATACAGTATTAGTTATATTGTATTTGAAGCACTGGTACAAAAACTAGCACAATTTACAGATGTTAGCTGATGTTATTACATTTTATTTTACAAAAGCTCACATGACTACTATTTACAAAATGACTTTCATAAATATTGCCAAATATTGTCATCTTTATAACACTCAACAATAGTTTTCTCTTGGTATTTAATATAGTTTTTGCAAAACATAACATCCATAGTGGAAATTATAGTATAGTAAATTAAAAAGTGATTAGAATCACCGAGGGGAATTTAGTTTTTACAAGGTGGCTCAGTGGATATGTCTATGATGGACTTTCACCAAAAAAAATTAATGTCAATCAACGAGCCAAAAAAAAAAATTGAATCAAAGCTTTCCCTCTCAATCCTACTCAAAGAGTAAACTCAATCGAATGTTAGGTCCTAATAAGGAATAGAGTAAAGGGTACAAGAACACCAATTTGGAATGTACATACTGCATTGACATTGGCAACTTATCCTGTTACACCTTTGGATATCTTTTCTCATGACTACAAACAAGTCCACTCCCTAAGCCCCATAAAGTTAGGCTATGTTCACACACACGGCGTAAGACTGGCTTAAGCCTGGCGTAGCGTACGCCTTTGTGTGTGAACTAGGCAGTGGCGTTGTTAAAGCCACTCACTACGCCACGTCCTTGGCGTTATTAACGCTACCTGCAGACCCCAGATTAGCTAACGCCAGTGATGCTTGAATGATTTGACCTCATTTCAAGAGATTAACCAATCACGATTGCAATATATTAGTCTCTTTTCTGTGCTCTCTATAAATGAAATGGTGAAGGGGTTCTTTTTCTATTGCATTTTACTTAGTTATAATGTATATGATTTATTGATTGTGTTTTGTAAGATATTTTAACCATTTAGACTGTCTATTAAAACATGCAACATTAACAATGCTAGCTGAAAAATCAAAAGTAAAATTGTTCATTTTAAAATACAATAATCATATAAGTTCACTTCGAACAATTCACAGATTTAAAAGTTTTCATGATGCACTGTTAATTTTACTACTGTTAACACGTACATTATTTAAAACTGAAAACTATTCCACATAGGCCTATATTACTGCTAGTTTAACGAACGCCGTTTGTGTGAACACTTTGGAATTTTAATCCGTGGATTAGCTTACGCCTGGCGTAAGCCACGCCAGTCTTACGCCGTGTGTGTGAACATAGCCTTACTTTATAAAGCATCAGCCCCTAATGTAATTATCAGTAGCATGCAAGTAAAACCTTCTGGAGTCACTAGGGCTCATAATGCTACAGCTTAACCCCTGTTTCTGTATCATCAAGCTGATGTCATACCTGCACGTGTACAGTAATTGGTAATTAAATAAAAATATTAATCTGTCAATGTGAACTCTCCAAAAAAGCCACTAATAAAAAATAATTAAATTGACATTTTTTCCAGTTCCACCATCTCTCTTGCATAAGCAACCAAGAAAATTATTAACCACAATGAAATATTTCTTGCTTCATCGAGAGGTGGTCTGGGTTCGTTGAGCAGCTGGCATTAGTTGAGACGATGGTGGAGGTGGAGGCGGTGCCTGTTGAGGGCGCTGATATAAGGTATCTTCATACGCCTTAACATTTAGCGATAACTTGGGTCCTGTTTTCCAGACTGTGCCTTCATTGTCAATGACAGTAGCTTCTACATTGACTTGGTGGGTGCCTGCCACTGGGAATGGCAGGAGGAACTGAGTGCTGAAGAAATCATTATGAGGCTCCACATTCTGTCGCAGGTCATTGGTTGTTGACTCTGTTTGCTAAAATATATTTAAAAAATAAGTTAGATATTAAAATTTCTTGCTGTATAAAAATGCAGAGTATAGTAGAATAACAGAAGTGTAGAAGTGGTTTGGCGCAGGGGAACAGTTTGGTTTCCCAATCTGGAGGTTGGGGGTTTCAGTCCCTCGCTGTGCATTTCACTTGTGTAATTGAGCAAGGCACTTTATCTGCATTGCTTCTCAACACCCAGGAATATAAGTAGGCACCTGGTAGGGTTAAATGTTAAAATGTGCTGATTAGCTTCTGCAACATTATAGAATACTCCTCTAGAGGACTTTGTGTTCCTACACAGGCAGCCCCTGTTGTGGACGACGAGAGTTGCTGGTACCAGGTAGCACAGATACGAAGGGACCCTTAGGGGTGAAGAAAGGCATTGATCGAGTTCCTAGTCCACAAATCAAGTGCCCAGAGCATCTTATGTTAGATGGATTTGGCGCTATATAAAATTACACTATTATTACCATTATTATTAACATGCTAAACCTCTAAATTAGCCATGTGTCTAAAGATGGAATGCGAATCTGACACCAATCAATATTTGCAAGTTGTTTTCAGGAAGTCATTAAACTAAAACGGAATTGGATAATGACTTCTTTGAACTAAAAACACACAAACTAAACACACACATAAATAATACCTTTCCTATTTTCTTTTGCATAGAATTTTGGATTTTAGTAGTAGTTTTATATTTTTTAATAAGTATTTAATGACTATGTTTAATTTTCAAGTGTTTTTTTGTCCTATTTTATGTGATCGATTATAAGGAATACTGTTGATACCAGTCTATATCATACCTTAGCATTTTCGTTTGGTTTGGGAAGGCGATGGGTACAGCTAGATGTTACCTGTAGAGTCACCTGTTTTACCTTTCGAAACAGACCTAAAATTCAGAACAAAAAATCTCAACGTCGAAGTCGAAGAAAGAAAAATTTCAAACGAAATATTTCTTTCTTCGACTTAAACCACTACTCACTGTTTTGAATAACAGTTTTTGCTAAAATATCACTTAGGCTTCTCAAGATACTTGACTGTTTTTAGTTGCCACAACAAATATTATAGTAAACACATTCATTTCTTTCCCCCAAGAATTGAATAAGATTATGATCGCTATAACCATTACCATTGTTATTATAATTATAAAAATTCTCATTTTTTGGCTAGAATTTAACCTAGGATTTTGAGTTCAAATGGTAAGCACTTGACCACAAACGCAACCAACGTAAATTTCTTATCATGGTAATCTTTGTCAGTATATGCTTTTGTTATAATTATTATTGTCACCAAAATTTTATACAAAATGTTGAATTTAGAAGAATAATCTTACCTGGTTTTTGTCCATGTTGAATAACACCTTCCACCTTCAATGCCAACCTTGTGCTAACATGTACCAAGATTGGTTCTCCAGCACCTCTTGGTGTAGGGGACACTGCTAGCTGCAAGCAAAATAAAACAGACAGGCTTAACTTCATCATCACATACAGTATGTTACTTTAAAAAGTAGCCTTCAAACCAGAAGACGAAAATGATGAAGTAGTGATGTTAATAAAATCAATTTAATGAACGAGGAAGACGATGATTAAGAAATACACTTGGCACAAAAGGAGAATCTGGTTATTATTTCAGTGAGTGTATTTACGAAGAATGATATTCATTAATAGATTTTCTCCCTTCATCTGCAGACACATGATTATAAAAACAGCCAGAGTAATCATACCTTTCTGAATTCAATGACGATTCGAAAATAGAAATTCTAATAAAAACAGGGTCAATAGCTTTTTTTCATTATTGAAACACTTAAATTAAAAAATATATAACCTTTTGGTAATTGTTGGGAGTGACTAGTTTTTACACTTATGGTAATATTATTATGTGTAATATTATCAGTTAATTAATATAAAGAGATTTTGTTGTGGTATTGCAGGATCACACCTTTGTAATGCTAGGCCTAAGACGACAGGGTATATTTGCTATGATAGCTGAATGTAATTGCATACGACGGGAAGTTATAACAGATATTGTCATCCTTGTACCCATGATTATATATTTGATATGCTTGTACACATGATTATGGATGTGATATTTTATGTACTTGACCACGTGTTGAATTACCATTTTTAAGCCTACATTTGATTTTATAAATGCAGTTTGATTTGTGATGATCAAGACATGGTTTGATTTATAATTTTGTAAACTTCAGTCACATTAATATATTACTCCTCGTTGTGACAGTTACTTATGTGAGAATTTATTTTCAATGTGTGGTATTGCATGAAAGAAGTTGTCTGTAATAAATGAAACATACTTGTAAATAAATCAATTTGAGTAGTATTATAAAGGATTTCGCTTCCACAGTTGGGGGTCATGGTAGAAGCGTTCTTGTCGCGGCCATGGTTAACTCCAATTCTACCACCACTACACAGTAGACACGATAATAAGAAGAAGATTTCAACAGTGTAACTATACATTAGCCAGCTGGAAATGCTTACTAAGAATACAATTATATTTATGAATTAAAATATAGTTTTACAGAGTGTTTGATTCCCTCTATATGAATTCATACATTTTTCTTTGAAATTCCAAGAGATTACAGTAGCCTGGAACACCATACAATGGCAAGGGATGATTAAGACAAGACGTTTACACTATTCGCAAAAGGGTCAATCACCAATATAGATGGTAGTGTAAAGAAGACAAAGCATATTTTACCATTGTGGAAGTCCAGTAGGATGACGTCAACTTTTCTGGTACCAATTTCAATTTAGCGAGATCAAAATGGAATGTTTGCAAGACACAACATATTCTATTTAATGTGATGATTCTACTCCTCATGGTCATTTTACCTCTGATGATATAGATTATGTTTATGGTAATAATAATTTTAATAATACTTAGAATGTTTATAGAGCACTTTTACATGAATGCTCTAAGAGTGCTACAAGATTAATGAGCAAGGTTGGAAGAGATTTCGATTTGAACAGTTTCAATGTGGAAGCATGACTGACGTGATAAGGTATTTCATTCAATAGGGATGCAAGGTTGGAGATAAGTTCATTTGTCTACTGAGGGCGCATGTCAAAGACAGAATAGGACATTTTTTTAGCTATATTAATATGTGAAGACAGGGAACTTGTGATGTAGTTGGAACATTGGTCTGGCTTATATTGTTGCCTTTTCAACTGAAGTCAACTTCTTTCAAGATTATGGTAATTTTTTTTAATGAAGAGCAGAATTGGCTTAAGCAAGACCTTCAGGTATGTACTGTATATTGGCTTTGGTAAAGGCATTTCACACTTGTTTCATAAAGCTTTTATAAGTTTCCACCAATCAGCAGCGAGGTCCAACCTACAGTCATATGAGTACGTCCCTGTTTGGATTTTCTGTGTCATTATTTAAGTGACTAAATTGAGCCACTGAGGACAACAAGCTTTACTGCAATTTTCCTCCTTGATACATTCTCAACAAAAACAAATCTTTTTTTTTTTCAAATTTTTTCAAGCATTTATCAACCTTCTGGAAGCTAATATAATAGAATCAAGATGAGCAGCCATGGATTATTACAATAGGCCATCATTACTCACTACTGGATGCTGTGACAAAATCTCAGACAAAGACAGATGAATCTGATCATCAGAATTATGGTAATAAAAATGCTTATAATTTACTTTTCTTGTTTACAATAGGACATTTCTTATGACAATCCATACATAGATCCTGTCCACATTATCACTAGTTCACCTGGAAACAAGGAACCCATAATGCCACTCTCTGAGAACAAGATGGAATGGGATGCATTCTGGTAGATGAATTATTGGTAGAGAAGAATGCAAGAAGATGAAAAAGATAAAGTGTAAATAAAATTGAATTCTGGTTTGCCAACATATTATTGGAATTCCTCTCTTTCAAGAGATTCAGTATACCGTATTTAGTCAGGGATTTATCATTACTGAGCCCGAAAAACAAAATAGTGGCAAGAAGTAAATAAAGCATGTCAAAAAAGTGTTAAAGGCTTCAAAGCGTCAAAAAACTTGATATTTTTTAAAAATATTTAAATCTTCTGATTAAACGTGAATCGATCGCACCACCTGGTCTTGCAGGCTACATCCCCCTTACAGCTAACTATAGAGCATTTCATCAGTCTAACCCTCACATGCAGGGAAAACAGGCAATAAAAGATGATGCTTTAAATGATCTGCTATTGGAATGTAGTGTTTTAAAGTAATGCACACTGCAATGATAGCCTACCTTAATGGCTGTAGACTGCAAGGATTGGAAGAAGTATCGTGGATAGCCAATAGGCACCTGCAGCAGTGTGTGGCAGGCTTCAAATAGGCAGTCTGAGTGCTATTCAGATAAAACATACTAAAAACATTTTATACAAATATGATATTACAAATTACTAAATGACAACTGTATGTTGTTAATGTATCTAATACACAGTATGATAATCAGGGCTGGTAACTGTGCTCAACCGTGCAACAATTGATGATCGTAACAGTGCGTATTTCCCAGGAGACATTTATAAAAAGAGATAAAAAAATGGTTTTGTTTTTCTTTGCTTTACGAAGAAGCTAAATAGGAAATAATGCATAAAATGTATCCTCCCTTTTACTTTACCCATAATGTACTAAAGTATATATGATGTATTGGTGGTGGATGACGAGACTCTTGCAACATACCAGATGAGATACTGACTGTCCTTCTGTTTTCTGCAAAGCTTCTTGAGTGCTTTGCAAAACCTTCACACAGGCCTGCATCACCTTATTGGAGCTTTTAGCAGACGTCTGACTCTGCAAGTCTAGCACATCCTGTAGATTACCTGTTGACTTTCCACTTGAGAAAGAGAATAATTTGTAAAAAGGCTGAATATGAATCATTATTAGAATTCTAATTAATATTTATGAAGCCTACTTCAAGTGTATTAAGTAAAGTATAAACAAAATCAGGGGCGGATCCAGAAATGTCCAAAAGGAGGGGGGGCCGAAAGCGGGGGCCGAAAGTTGGGCCGATTGAGACAACACTGTCGTAGGGGGTCTGGGGCATGCCCCCGCGAAATTTTTGTGTTCTAGACGCCCGAACATAACATTTGAGGTATTCTGGGCTATCATTTTTTTCTTTTTCTCTCTTTTTTTTCTTTTTTTTTCTTTTTTTAACCTGCCAAAAGGGGGAGCCGGGGCCGGGCCGCCCCCCCACCCTAAATCCGCCCCTGAAAATGTCTTCATAATTGTAAAACTTACCCATAAATTTGATTGCTTAGTATAAGAACATCAATAACATAAGCTAGCAGCAGACAGATTTCTTGTAATCTGGGTGGACAGTTAAGGATTGATGGATTACGCATGTTTTTTTTTAACCAGGTTAGAAGAAGCTTATCTAAAAACATCAATAGAAAATGATTGTGTAGGCCACAGTTACATACCAGGGGGTATGCAAATTATTAGGAGGGTATGTCATATACTAAGAGGTAGGACGCAGGTATGACTGGCCACATACTGAAAGAGTAGGCCATGTCAAAGGGGTACAGGCCATGTACCAACAGAATAGGCTAAGTACTACAAGAATGGGCCATGTACTAACATGGCAAATTACAAACAAAGAGACTAGGTCATATATTAGGAAAGTGTGCTATGAACTACTAGGGTAGGCTAAATATTAAAGAGTAGGCCATTTACAATGTTAGTGGTCACATAAGAAGGACAGGTTTCCACCAATCAGCAGCGAGGTCCAACCTACAGCACATATATAAAAGAGAAGCCATATATTATTAAGGAGACAAAATACACATTAGAGGGAAAGATTAGTGCAGAAGTTGCAAATTGTCTTCTCAACTTTGAGGTAGGGATGTTCACAATCACAACAATATATACACATTGGTAAATATATCAAACCATTCTCTTTGGAAGGATACACCAACATATTTTCAAGTGTCTTGGGGTCGGCATCAAACGATGCTTGCTGTAGTGTAGAGTAAGAGCTGCCAAGTTGACGTAATTTATCATGACAATTCTGCATCTAAAAACAAAACAACACATTAATATAACAAATGAAAATATTATACATTGAGTTGATAATGCTGTATATATCAAACATCATGATATTCAATTTTTTATATAAAATTTACGTATATCATCTAAGAAAAATTCATAAGGATGGTAAATAAGGTGCTGCATTTGTAATACCAGCAACATTTTCTACACACTAGCTACATACAAGCCTCCACCTAGAAATAAGCCATCCCCTAGCCTCCTCTAACATGGAGTGTCAATCAAGCTTAACAACTGACCAATCAGAACAGCGCTAGAAATACGCGTATGTCTCACAAACACAAGTGTTGTCCCACAAACGTATGTGTTTGCCTATGTTTTCACACTGTTGACCTGTGGGACATTATTATTAACTATATCGAAGGGGCGGGGCATAGAGAAAAGTTCATTAGTATGCAAGTCACCACCCTAGGCCTTGAGTTGCAAACTCAACAACATATTTAACAGCCTTTCAGGTTCTTTCCACTATCCCAACAACTTCCTAGCACCTTCCCTAAAATAATCACTTTTCTATGCCTAGTCTAACTCTCAAGAATACAAATATACAAATTGCAAAAATAATGTGAAAGGTAATATATGCCTTACCTGGAAAGCCATGCGACCACACTTTTGCAGATCTATTCCAGTTGTCATGGCAACAGCCGGTGCAATAGCCGGCGGTGGACAAGTCCTGATACTTGCTGAGGCTGTAATGAGGAGCTTGAATGCATGCAGCATATCACATCGTAACCTAGTGTACTCGCACTGGAAATGCATCTGATGACCAGGTGTGGTAGCAGCCTACAATTACATTTTGATAATTGAATATATAACTCATTAACAGATCATTTCATGAGGTTTCAATCAAATAACTTAGTGCATGTTGCAATGAAATATACAGAACTACAATGAATCCATGAACACCTAAACAGGTTTGTTTTTGTTTTTTGGCCAGATGAAACTATTTAGTGATTTGTACTCTTGATGTTACAATATATTGGAGGAAATAAATACATTATTATTATTATTATTATTATTATTATTATTATTATTATTATTATTATTATTATTCAATTGAAAATGTACTGGTACACATAAAATTTGATCGTGTTCAATTAATTTTTACAATATTATTAAATCTCAAAACAGTTTCAAAACATGGTACATTATAAAACATATGATTCCAAACACACAAATAAACTTGGATGTAAGGAAATAAGATTTGGTTATATATAATTCGCTATTATTTCAATCACATTATAACATTATAATGCATAGTTGGGTGACATGTACAGCACACTCACCTTTAAGGCAACTATCCCTTTTTCATAATGCTGAGTAGCCTCAGCCAAACTTTGAGTCAAATTAAACAGTTTGTGAGACGGTTTTGTAAGACACTCCTCAGCTTTGCAGAAATTATTCAAACCAGACAACCAGAAGTAGTAATGCTCTGATGCTACCTAGAATTGAAAAATAAAAATGCAAATGAGCAATTAGCATAAGTGAAATCAATTACACATACTGAACTTATTATGACAAGTATTTTGAATACCAAACTGAAAAATCTAGTTAAAAACAACAAGCTAAAACATAATTTTACATTACAATGATTTGTTTATATTTTTCGACAGTGTGCATTTTCAATTGCTGGTGAAATAAGTTGACTAGATTTATGCTGAACACTAACTTTTGTTGTCAGATTTCCAAATAGTTCTGCAGCAACACAATGACAACCCTACAAATAAAAGAAACAAAAACAAGTTAAACATCATACATAGTAGGACTTTATGTTAAAATATCAAAAACTGTAGCCTCTTTGTCACATAGGCTGAAACATGGCCACTTAACAGCCTATCAACAGTGCAAGCATGTCTGGCCATAGGCAGATAGATATACAGTACTTTATTTATCTTTTGTCACATACATGGTAATTAGTTCTAGTGTCTGAAGATGCACTTTCATTGAGAATGTCTGCAATAGGGCTAACAAAACTCAGAAGGTTTTCATAAATTGGTAGTTTCAAGGTAAAGGAGGCTGCATATAAGGCCCTGGTACATCCCATGTATGCAAGCAGCGTCTGGGATCCATTTACAGTAGATGTCTGCCAATCTATTGATATGGTTAAAAAATGAGAGCTAGATGGGTTACTTGTCGTGATCTGCTAGTGTGTGAAGACCTAGTAACAGACCAATCGAATTAAACATACTTACTAGCCTGGCTGCCTGCCTTGACACTCTAAAAAGGGTCCAAGCTTGTGATGGGCCTAGCTTGTCCAGAAAGAATTGCGATAACTTCTTTGGCTCATCAGAGCTGCTTTGGCTAAGCATTAACAATGCTGCAACTGATACCTGAAACGATGGAAATATCATCTGCAGCGTGTAATCATGATTGTTATCATTTTGACAAGGTAACCTCCCTAGATGTACATATTCACTCTGTGCTCAAGATGTTCTGAGCTGTGATGGGTTCAAAATAATGAGTTTACTTGATGGATCTGTTTGTTAAATATGGTATAAACTCGGACCAAAACACCTTACTTCCAAGCATAGAATACTCACAAACAGTTTCTGTTGTGTTGGATCCATACTAGATTGAGCTGTGAGATTAAGTAATTCTTGCAAACTGTCTTTGTAAGCACCAACTAATGATGGGTCATTCTGAGCCAAGGTCACCAGACACTGACACAGAAGCACTCCTATCTTACCTGCGTAAAAAAATACACCTTAACTTGAATAAATATATTTTATTGTTTTGTTACTTCAGGAATAAGGACCTTTTGTTAAAGTGAATTGGTTCACTTTTAGGTTCCTGCCTACTTCCTGCATCTGTACTTGTGCTTGTTCTTGAATTTGGCAATAAAAAATAAGAATAAGAATAATTTCTCTTTTTTATTAAATTTGTTAAACAGATGCATGATTCATTGTTCTGATGTTCAGGTGTTATTATATTTTGTGTTAATACTGTAATAAAGTCAAAAATATAATATTTTTTAGACCACTTCAGAACTTTTAGAAATTTTGAAAAATATGTCACAGCTTTGGGTTAATAGGAACATGTTTTTCTACAGCACATGGTCAAATACAATAGCCTTTTCAGATCTTCTTCATATAATATTTATATACAATAAGACCTTTAAAGTGATGGTATTTACCTATTGAACTGCCAACTAAGCTGCACAAATTATCAACAAATTCAGGAGCTAGTGACGGACTTGCTTGGCATAAGCTCCTTACACAGTTCAACGCAATCTGAGATAGAAAATATGACAATAGTAGCATACATAAAGATGCACTTGAAGGAATTTTCATGACAATACTATTTTTTTTCTTCTGAACCACACATAATGATATAGAATTAATGAGCTTGTGATGGGCTTAGCTTGTCCAGAAAGAATTGCGATATCTTCTTTGGCTCATCAGAGCTGCTTTGGCTAAGCATTAACAATGCTGCAACTGATACCTGAAACGATGGAAATATCATCTGCAGCGTGTAATCATGATTGTTATCATTTTGACAAGGTAACCTCCCTAGATGTACATATTCACTCTGTGCTCAAGATGTTCTGAGCTGTGATGGGTTCAAAATAATTAATTTACTTGATGGATCTGTTTGTTAAATATGGTATAAACTCGGACCAAAACATCTTACTTCCAAGCATAGAATACTCACAAACAGTTTCTGTTGTGTTGGATCCATACTAGATTGAGCTGTGAGATTAAGTAATTCTTGCAAACTGTCTTTGTAAGCACCAACTAATGATGGGTCACTCTGAGCCAAGGTCACCAGACACTGACACAGAAGCACTCCTATCTTACCTGCGTAAAAAAAATACACCTTAACTTGAATAAATATATATATATATTGTATTGTTATGTTACTTCAGGAATAAGGAACTTTTGTTAAAGTGAATTGGTTCACTTTTAGGTTCCTGCCTACTTCCTGCGTCTGTACTTGTGCTTGTTCTTGATTTTGGCAATAAAAAATAAGAATAAGAATAATTTCTCTTTTTTATTAAATTTGTTAAACAGATGTATGATTCAATGTTCTGATGTTAAGGTGTTATTATATTTTGTGTTAATACTGTAATAAAGTCAAAAATATAATATTTTTTAGACCACTTCAGAACTTTTAGAAATTTTGAAAAGAAGCTTTGGGTTAATAGGAACATGTTTTTCTACAGCACACGGTCAAATACAATAGCCTTTTCAGAGCTTCTTCATATAATATTTATATACAATAAGACCTTTAAAGTGATGGTATTTACCTATTGAACTGCCAACTAAGCTGCACAAATTATCAACAAATTCAGGAGCTAGTGACGGACTTGCTTGGCATAAGCTCCTTACACAGTTCAACGCAATCTGAGATAGAAAATATGACAATAGTAGCATACATAAAGATGCACTTGAAGGAATTTTCATGACAAGACTATTTTTTTTTTCTGAACCACACATAATAATATAGAATTAATGAAGAGTGAATTTAAATGGTTGGCTTTTAAATTCAATATTTTGAGCACACAAAATTTTCCTGTTTTTTGGGGGTTTTTTTGGGGGGGGAATGATGTGTAAAAGATAGGATATTACTCTTGCCAATCTTTGCATGATAACTGTCTTCAGGTGAGCATACAATCGTTATTTAGTAAATCAAAGCACACTAGCTATTTTCTCCAGCTTTATATATTTGTATTTTTCCCCATGTGCTATCCTTTCCAAGAAAAATAAAATACAATTATGTAGACCTTGATTTTTTTCATTATAATTTAAGGCACATTTAAGGCAAACCTTCAAACAAGAAGCTTTCTTAACACATCTAATTTGCTGAACATGGTGATACTCTTAGTCGGGAAAAAAAACTAATGCCACAGCAGTTAAATACATGCAAATTTCATTAATATGCATGAGATTTGTTAGTTTACGCATGATTTTTGAATAATTGCAGGAGTGCGGAAGGTTGTCCTGACTTCCAGGACTACCGCAAATTGTGGAGGACTTGGGACCCCTACAGTCTCAACACTTCGCTAAAAATATGTTGCTATGTATGTACCCACCGTGATAGCCGTAGTAGCTTCCTTTCCATCTTGCAGTGCACAAATCATGATGAGAGCCTCAGCAGCTGTAGCAACCTCTTGCACAACCGATTCAATCTGTGACTGGGGTACACCCTTTGTTGTGATGTTGGTCATGATCTGAATGGCATATGATGCTATGGTAACATTGGGCACACAGCAGAAATCACCGCACAATTTCACAACTTTAGAATCTGCAAAAAAAGAAAATATTATGTTCACTTTTAGCAATATAGTAACATAGAATTTAATAGAAATAGGGTTCATCTGGATTTGAAAGACAAAAATCAGATATTATAAAAAATATATGTGATAAAGATATTTGAAAAATAAGATATACTTGTTTAACCTTGCCATTTTCAATAGCGCACTCATATGATTTTGTACTTTGATACAGGAATATATGCAATTAGAGTGGCCAAACGTGTATACTCTATGATAATTAATTCAACACACCACTGCGTCTCCATGAATCTCAAATAATGAAAAACTGAATATGTTTGAGAGCTACAATAGATACAGTGTGTAACTTCTATCTGTGGATTACCAGCTCGATCTACACAAATTAAATAATTTTTCTAATTATATCTCCCCTTTTATGGCCTTAAAAATGGGATTTCATTATAGGGCAAAACATTTATATGGCGATTTTTATATCTTTATAATTCTTTAGAATAATAATTAATATTGAATGAGAATTAAACTTTTATTTCCATGTTTTTGGAGCTGTGGCCTGTATAACTAAAAAAATGTTATTGCATCAATGAAGCCTCTGGTTCTATTTAAGTTAGTCTGTTAAGTGTTAGCTCCTCATAATTACTATGTATTTAAAATAACCTGGCTACCAAAAATTCTCAATGATCCTTTAGATAGAATATAATTTCTATCCTGCAAGTAGTGTGTCAATCACTATTAGATTAAAGTTAAATATAAAATTTAAAAAATGCACTTACTATGAGCCAAGTCTAATACATTCAATGCTACTGTCTTTGATAGAGCACTAAGGACAGTCAAGGCTCCAATGATCAGTCCATCATAACCAGTTGTTGAACAGAAATCACACAGACCGTCAACGTTCTCTCCGGTCCACATGTGTGGTGCCTTGCAAGCTAGCATGCGGAGGTCCTGCAGAGCAATCTTTTTTACAGTGTATCTTGGATCGCTGTGCAGGTACTTTAGTAGGAGGGATACCTGTAAATAGAAAAGAGTGATTAAATGAGTTACCACCTTGTGAAGAGAACATCTCACCATTAAATAAGTGTACATCATGAATATGATCAAAGTATGTACAATTAATAAGTTTCCACTGAACTGTAGTTGATTATTACTCTTTAGAAAAAGACACTCTCAGATTTAATTTGAATATATTTTTTTCTTCTTTTCTTTTTTTAATTTTCAAAACTTTAGGGAGCCTCAGCCCCTCTTCAATCTGCCTATGGTGGGATACAAGCCCAATTTAACCATGAGGCACCATTTAAACAACCATTATTATTATATAATGAAATGAAACAGGTACTTGTAAATTATGGAGCAATATATTTTTCAATGACACTGGAGGTTCCTCTGTATTAATAGTTGTCTCCTTCTGAATTGCATGCCATCTGATGTCTTGAGCTGGACACTTGAACTTTGTTTATACGTAATTTAAACTTAACTACACTGTATATAAATCTAAAGTTAAAGTTCCAGCTAGGATACTAATTCAGAATAGAATTAAGTTTGCTATTACAGGTATAAATTTTAATTTAAATTCTGTAAAAAGAACACAATGTTCCCTACCTGCTGTGGAATGTCTACAAGTGAGCTTGTAGCAAGTTTGGAGAGTGTATGGAGGGTAACGAGAACAAAATCTCTAGCCGGGTACGATTGCAACTTGCTGACACACAGGTGGCGCACCCTGCATGCAGACTCGCCGTCATGATGCATGTGTTCAAAGATCTCAATCAATTTCAACTTCATTTCCATTGGAGTCGCCAGACCTTGCAAGTAGAAAGTAAAGTTCAATCACAAATTATAGATACACATTTATTATATATTATCTATATTGTATAATTCTTGTAAGAGTGCTTGGTGCAGCTGTAGCTGTTGTGAATTGATATGTGATTTTTAGCATATATAGAAATAACTTTAACTCAATATAATTCTCAAAATCAATACCAGGAAGGATTAAAAGGTAGCCTAGCCTACCCTCTCCCCCACTTCGAATATTTCCAAATTTTAAAGCAAAAAATGGAAGAGAATTAAATTTAAATTTGAGGCTAAGTGTGCATATCCTGTATTCTATTGATGCTATAGTCTTTAGATGTCATACATCAGCCTCAACCATAAAGGGCCTCAGGTGGTCTCGATCCTACATTTGTGGAAGTCTCTCCCTGAGCCCTTCTATTTCGAAATTCCTGGAATCACCACTGCGTTATCAACACTCCTAAAGCCTTTCAAAGAGTCTCAGCTACAAAGTATCACACACATGGTCATCTTTTAAGAGTGGATCATCCTTAATAAATATGGAGTGAAAACATTGTTACAAAAACTAACCCTCAATCATCTCTGACAACTTGTTACAAATTCCCACAGCAAAAACCCTGTAATATAAAGAAGACATGTTGTTAATGTTAAAACAGATTCATCTGAACTTGTTGCAGACAATTTAAGTGTATACTGAATATTAGATATGTAATTGGTTTAAAAAATATATAAATAATATAAATGTTGATCTAGTCTGGGTACACAATATGTGGATTGTTATCCTTAATCCCTTTTACAAATAACATTCTGTATCTGTCATTTTACTTATATTTTAAATTTGAGTTTCAATTCCTGTAATTACTTTGACTGTTCAGCAAATCTATTGGCAGCAAATATGGCAGCTTCAAGTTCCACTTTATCATGTGAGTCTAGGCCACTTCGGATGCTGTGATGAACATTCTTGCGCTCAGCTATGATAGGGGCAATACCACCTAGGACTCTGTAACAATAAAATGTGATAAATAATCTCAATTTGAACAAATTGCATTCTACAATTTAATGTTTGTACAAAAAAAAAAATTATTCACAAGCTGGTAGTTATTGTGATAAATATATATTTTAAAATTTTTTATTAATTCCCATTTAATAGTATAATATAATATAATTTAATTTTACTAGTTTCTTTGTTAATTTATTTCTTATTTATAATCATTATTATTCAATTGTAAAAATGATTATTATTATTAATATAATATAAAAAAAACATTATTTATCACCATAATATTAAATTGTCAAAATAGTTAATGTTATCATTAGTCTCACAATGTATAATAAAATATTTAAAATCTTCCTTAGTATTATTTATAGAATTATTAACAGAAAATGATATGGTACTACCTGAGAGTTATAGCTCTGGCAACCGGATCGTTGCTATGGATAACAAAGAAGATTCTGCGAAGAAATTCATCCGTGTTGAGAATCTTATCAAGCTGTTTCTCACTTTGCTGTGTTACTTTCAGAACACACAATCGCAAAAAGTTATTACTGCAAATCGAATAAAATTCTAATGTAATGATAAAATAAGGAAGGAATTCATTTGTGTTGAGAATCTTATCAAGCTGTTTCTCACTTTGTTGAAGAACACATGCAGAACACATGCAAATCAAGCAAAATTTTAACAATACAGTTATTAAATTATAAAGGAATTCATTGTATTCTAATACATGGTCCAAGTATAGATACATGCTTTTACCTTTTAACACTGGGTGGTAAATTTCGAACTGTTGCTTTTTATGTTTCTGTTAATACTATTAATAAATAATGGTAGTAATTCACCCTAAATCCACAATATTTTCCACAATAAACAAATCACAGTATAAGAATACTATAAAACCTCAAATTGAAGCCCTGGGCTTCTTTTTATTGCCAACTTTAGGTGGTCTTCTTTTCGAGGCTACTTTTCCTTTAGGGGCTTCTTTTCTTTTTGGGGCTTCTTTTCAAAATGAATGCTGTAAATTTTGTGAATTTTTACACATAACAACTATTGATTTTTGCACACTGGTATCTGCTATGAAATTTCTCACTCAGTAAAATTCATCAGTAGTGTCAGCTGATACAATATCTGTCATTGATGGGGAGCAAACTTTTCGCAGCCTGGACATAATATAACCACGGAGGTATAAAATTAGATAACTCTGCTGCAGACATTTCGTAACCAAGACATGTGACAGCCATGATTTTAGAAGATGGCTAATAGAAGAGTAATACTATCAGTATGTCTTCAAATGTAAAGGCCTATTAAATTCACACATGTATCATCACTGCTTAATTATAAATATGTTAATTGTCAATATTGTAAACAAACAAATACAATAACGTTAACTGTACAAACATTATACTGTGGAGGTATTGTAGGCAAACACAATTCACACAAAAAAAAAAATTCTGTTAAAATAAGAACAGAAAAACTTGCCCATCTCTGAAAACATCAGCCAACTTCAGAAAGGCCGAGTTAATTAGAATCGGAAAGGGGTACTTCTCAAACATCCGTGGAAACCTTACGATTGCTTCACATTGCTCTCCGACCTTAGTGGAACGCAGACCTAAAAGCAGACAAAAATGAACATAAACATTATATTTATCTTAGTTTGAAATGAGTTAATACATGGAGGGCCTAGCTAGGCCTATTTTTTTAATAGATTAAGCTAGGATAACAGAACTCAGGGAGCAGGCAGGAACCTGAAAGTCAACAAAATCACTGAAATAAATATATAGGCCTAAATATTAAATATATTAATAATAAACTCATACACTACAAGATTATCGGATTTAAAAAAACATTCAAATAGTAAAAATCAGCAATACAACTGAACGAAAGAGATGTGGGGATGAAAAAAAGAGAGAGGACTATCCCATACGTGGCACAGTGCAACTAAGCGGAGGGGCTATATTACATGCCAGTTTTTTTCCATAGTCTTTGAATTTGGAACAGATGAATGGCAGAATGATGAAGAAAGTTAGTTCTTTGTAAATTAATGTAGTCTGACTATCAACAAAAGTGAACTGACGGATGCTACTACTAATACTAGGCCTACAATTCACACATTTGAGTACTATTAATAAAGTGCATTAGGCCTAGGCCTAGAAAGTAAGCCTTCCCCAACCAAACTTAGCCTATAGCTAGGCTTAGATAAGTATAGGTACAGCCTAGGCCTAGCTAGGGGCCTACTACTACTACTTCGTTAGGCCTAGTACTTCTAACTTCTGTTCTGTACCTGGCCCTGAGGCTGAGTGAGGAGTGGCCTAGCTAGCCTAGAGAGACCTAGTCCTAGGCGGCCTAGCTAGGCCTACTAGCCTGGCCTAGCCTACCCTAGTAGGGCCTAGCTAGGTCATGATATAGGCCTCCTCACCTGTGAAGGATAGGAGGGTCTGCACCTAAACTGACTGGATAGGTTAATGCAACATAATCATACATACCTTTGTCCAACTCCATAAGGGCTGAGTTAGCATCCTGTTCAGGCTCTCCATAATTTGCCTCTCCGAAAGTTGTAAGACGGGCAGTGACTGTCGCCATTTCTCTTCGCACATGTAGTAAACAGTGTTATGTCGCCCTCAGTCGCCTTTAGTAGTTAAATCTGTAAATTTCAAAACAGATCGCACGACAGACATGATTTAAGATGATAATAAAGCTTAGTGTTAAATAGACATGTAGAAATAAACAAAAACTTAATTTTATAAAATCCCGAAACAGTTTAAAAGATGATGAATAAAGCGTAATGTTATATAGACACGTAAAAACATTAAACAAAAACCTAATTTTATAAAATGCCGAAACAAAAGATGATGAAATAAGGGTAAAGTTATATAAAAGAAACAAATTAGATAAGAAAGAGACAAAGAAAAAACAAATAATAACAAACATGGAGCTATAATTATTTAATTTATAACTCCATGCAAACACCATCAACAAAAAAGGGAAAAAATAGTCAGGGATGAGAAAAGATGATGGGTATTCCAGGTAGGCCTATATTATATTATTATTATTATTATATTATATTTGACAAAAACTATTGAAAACAAATATTAAAACAGTCAATTCTAAAAAGATGGTCAATAAAGCGTAGTTTCAAGTAGGCATAGAAATATTAAATACAAAACTAGTTTTTAAAATGCCGATTTCTTGATGATAAATAAAACGTAATTTTAAGTTGACATGTAGAAATACTCAATACAAAATTAATTGTTAAAAATGCCGAAACCCGAACCAAGATTAAAGGACCTTTAGGTCTTCTGTCCAACGCTCTCCAAACTGAGTTATTTCGGCCGGGACGAAAACCTTCAGCCTACCTACACAAACTTTATTTAAAATAAATATTCTAAAGAGGCCTTGATGATGGATAAAGCGTAGTTTTAAATAATGATGTAAAATATTTTTAAAATATTATTTAAAAAATGCCGAAAAAACCCGGAATTGCAGGAACACTTAGAACCTCGGTCTAACGCTCTCCCAACTGAGCTATTTCGGCTGGTAGAACATGTATTCTGTCCAATTACATGAGCTACGGAAAACAAATAGGCCTAAACATTGTAAAAAGATGATGAAATATTACGAAATAAAGCGAACCATATGTAAGTTACAGTACCATGAAATTTATCGTTTTATCTATTTAAAAAAAACTCGCGAAAAGGCCGAGTACTGGGGTGCGTCCAGGCTAGATTTAAACAAAAATATATATTCTAAAAAGATGATGGATAAAACATGGTTTTAACATGGTTTTAAATAGACATAGAAATATTCAATGAAAAATTAATTTTAAATTATGTACCAGAACATTCTAAAAAGATGATGAAATATAGCGGATTTTAATACCCAATTGTATGTCACATAGCGGTATTTAACAAGGACAATTGAAAACAAATCAGCATTTATTTGTTAAAATATGATGAATAAAACTTAGTTTTAAATAGAAATGAGGAATATTCAATAAACAATTAATTAAAAAAAGCATCCGAAGCCCGGGATTGAACCAGGGTCCTTTAGACCTGCCATCTAACGCTCTCCCGACTGAGCTACTTCGGCTTGCGAATTAAATCTTCAGCCCTTACATGAGCTAATGCAAACCGAAAAAAAAAAGGAAAATCTAAAAAGATGATGCAATACAGCGTAATATTGTTTGAAGATTTGCATGGCGAAGAAGTAATGTATTAAATCCGCAAGCATTGAAATAAACGTGCTATGTAGACATGTAGTAGGCCTATGTAGTATATAAATTAAATTATCAGGCCTATTTAAAAACAAAATGAACCAGGGACCTTTGGATCTTCTGAGTCTAATAAAGCTCTCCCCAACTGCAGGGTGGATTTGGAAAGTAAAAAAAAAAAGAAAATGAATAACAAATATATTTTCGGGCGTCTAGAACACAGAAATTTCGCGGGGACGTTCCTCCGGATCCCCTAGGGTATAGTTATCTCGATCGCCCTACTTTCGGCCCCTTCCGGTTCCCCCTTTTTACATCTCTGGATCCGTCCCTAAACTGAGATAATAATTGGACCCAGTTGCTCGCCACACTTGGGCAAGACACCGTTTATCTGCATTTGCCTCTCTTCACATAGGAGTATGCCTATAGATGAGTACCTGGTAGGATTTGCCCCAGGGTAGTAGTTGAATGATTCGGAATTAAATTACTACGGTGCTGATTACACGCGTAATATTCCCAGGGTTTGGCCAGGGAACGGAGGATGATGATTGATTTTTATCCAATAACCAGGTTAAAAAACGCAGTTTTCTGGATATGTGCGCTATACAAATCCTACCAAATAGAAAAAAGTGAAATACAAAAATATACATTTAAAAAAAAATATTTTTTTAAATGCCGAAACCCGGGATTGAACCAGGGACCTTTAGATCTTCAGTCTAACGCTCTCCCAACTGAGCTATTTCGGCTGACATGAAGGTTCGCATAATGAAAGTTTGAGGCATATATAGTCAGTAATATACAATAATACAATTGAGTAGCACCTTCTTTAGACTACCAAAATTTATTGAAAACACAAGATTTAGCTATAGATTTTGAGCTTTACAAATGTTCTTTATTTGCAATTTCATAAACAAAATTGAAGAATAACAACAAATTCGATAGAAAACACTACACAAGTACAAATTTATCTAACGAATCAAACAAATTATCTACATTTATAAAAAAAAAAAACAATTATCAACAATAAATTACATCAGGAAAATTGTTACTAGAATTTAAAGAAAGGCATAAATTCATTGATAAATACCGTACAGATTCAAACAAAAATGTTCATGCTTAAAATTGACGGTACTAATTCAAGGTAATTTCAATATATAGGCTACATATTTTTTTTTAAGAATTTCAAAATTGTATTGCACATTATTAATATTTAAATCATACTTATACTGATTGGGATTAACATCATAATTAGGTTTTCCATTTATAAAAGTACATAATTATAGGATAATGATCATAATTAGTTAATTTTAAGTTTAGTATTATTTGTTCAGTTTTAATTTTTCTGTACAATCTTAAAAGAATTAATTACATTAGCCAATTAACATCTTCGAGTAATGAAGTTACAATTAATACATTTTATTTAATTACCAAATTTTAACCAAAAAGGGAAAAAAAAGGGAAAAGAGAAAAATCACAGCAGACATCACATAACTAAAAAAAATACATTAAAAATGTACCAGTCCATAGAGATTCCAAATTTAGTAATACATTTTTTGCTGCGTTGGGTTGTCATTTTAAAGAGGGGCGAATTGACTTTGTTTGCGAAGATTGTAGTACTGTTGGGTGGGGGGGGGGAGCGTTAGGTAGCAGATGATATAAAATATGATCAATATGTTTTATTTTAGTGAAATATTTTTTTAGAAAGGGATTCTCATCTGGTTACAAGTAACTTCATCAGTTTTTTGTGTTCGGACGCCCGAAAAAAACCTGAGGCGTTTTGGGCGATCATTTTTTGTTCTTTTTCTTTCCGTATTTCTCTTTTTTTTAACTTCCAAAGCGGGAAGGGGAGAAATCCGCCCAGATTATACTAAACGTGGTACAGACGGTGTGGCATCCCTTGATTTGGTAGGTTGATTGGTTATGTCCAGATATTTTGTTTTCGGTGTTAATGTGTGGCCATAATGCGAACGAGGTTGATTGCAAGTCCTACGGAACGCCGCCGTTATGTTAGTTCGAGTTGCTCAACTTGTTGCATCCACATGTAATAAGTTGCTTGATGTATACTTCGGCTGCTAGGACATTTTTTCAGCCCAACTACATGAGATACTGAAAACCCCGCTGAAAACATTCTAAAAAGATTAAATAAAAAGTGTAATAGGGCCTACATTGTTTGAAGGTTTACATGGCGAATTAAATAATAGGCCTCTAACGTATATTAAGTGCTGGTGTATCGCAAGCATCGAGAAATAATGGGTATGTTTAAGAAGTAGGCCTACATGTAGCTATAAAAATGGTTGATCTATTTAAAAAAATCCGAACTACGGGATTGAACCAGGGAAGTTAATTATAAATATAGGACATAGTTATAAATAGACATAGGAATATTCAGTGAGAAAATAGTTTTATAAAATGCGAAAAAAAAAATGAAGAAGATGATGGATGAAGTGTAGCTTTTCAAAGACATGTGGAAATTCAAATAAATAAATTAAATAACCCATTAATTTAACAAAAATTACAATGCCGAAACCCGGGATTGAACCAGGGACCTTTAGATCTTCAGTCTAACGCTCTCCCAACTGAGCTATTTCGGCTGGTATAACAAAACCTCAGCCCAACTACATGAGCTACGGAAAACATTCTAAAAAGATGATGAAATACTATGAAATAAAGCGAGTCATGTGGACCATACCATACCATACCATATATTATTATTTGATAAGACAAAATTGTCATTTAATATAAAGATATGCTACTTTGTTAGACCCACTGTCTCGGCCTTTTCGCGAGTTTTTTTTTTTTTTTTTTTTTTTTTATTTTTATTATAATTTTTTTTTTTTTCTATGGTCTAACAAAGTAGCATATCTTTATATTAAATGACAATTTTTTCTTATCAAATAATAATTATTATTTAATTAAGTCATATTGTTTTTATTCCGAAGGACAGAAATCGATGAATGCTGACTACAATTGAATGCTTCAGGGCACTGTTGTTCCAGCTTGTCGTTTTGCCAACGAATATAAAGCATGAAAAACTCAAAACTATTACTGTATTGACAATCTAATTATCAGAAGGAATAAAAGTGTTAAAAGTTCTCTCCAAGAACGCTACAGGTCATTATTTGTCAGTAAAATGTCTATTTCCTCTCACATTCATTTCATAAGACAAACGATTCAACCAAGAAGAATGGAAGTTAGCCCATAACAATATGCCTAGACGGATTATGACCAGGGGCGGCCGGGGGCGGCCGGGGAGAAAAACTACAATTCGTCAGAGAGAAAAAATAGGCCTATAGTATTTTATACGTATTAGTAGACGCCCTAATAGATTAAATAAGCCTTCGAAACCCATAAATTGTCTGATTTTTTCGGGGTTTTTCCCCCTAAAAACACTTTCGGGAGATTTTGAGTAACGCCCGACCACGCCCATTTTTTCGTCTGGGGCGTCGACCCCGCCGTCGGGAAAATCGGACCCCCGTCGGGCAAGTCCTGGCGCCACTACTGAGACATACACGGTTCTTCTTTTAGTATACATATAATATCTATTTATAATAAATTATTATTATTATTATTTATTTATTTATTTATTTGTAATAATAATACTACTACTACTACAAATAATAATAATAATAATAACAATAATAATAATAATAGGGCCTAATAAAGTTTTACACTAATTCTTTTTTTATGTTTTTAATTTGAATTTAATATCTTGTGATATTATATTTTTATGTTTTTATTTTTTTTATTTTTGATATTTTTGCGTTCCTGTTGTACGATTGTTTAAAATAAATAAATAAAAAAACAATACAAAGTGTATACGGTATGTACTTGGCTTGGACGCATTGAGGCCCTGTGCCATTAATGACACCACATAATGTCGATTTCAAATAGTATTTGAATAGAAAAACTTCTGATCTTGGCAATTATATTTAACGTATATAACCTACTGCACCGTATGTTATCAGTGATCGTTTTGGAATCCTCTTCAAATGTGTGCATTGTCCTCATTAAATACCTCTATCATGGTGGTAAGATAATTTCGTGCTTTTGAAGCGGTCAGATGTTACCATGTTATAAACAGGCAATTTGTTTGTTGAATAATGCTCACAGTATTAAAATGATATATTGCCATTTGCATTCATATAAACAGTTATTCGTAATGACACAACCACGCCGAAAACAAACTTTTAAAAAAAATGTGTTTGTTCCGGTTCCAGTGTCGTAAGTTAGGTTGATTGACCGAGTCAGTTATCATGACATTTGACAGCACAAGAAATGTTGGGGGGTGGGTAAAAACTTAAGTCAAACCTCTTAATGAATGGATGTTCCTTCCGATCACTCTGTAGGCCGATCCAATCATTGAAGAAGATATCATTCCACGGTCCAATCAGAAAGTTGTAATTGGGCCAATAAAACGAACACATTCCGTTATCCTTGATGTGATTGGCTCGATTGATTTCGATGACAAACTTGTGGTAGTTTTATTGATAGTTATCGACATCATCGTGTGTGGGGTACCTCGATGAACTACTACCACGCTACCTATCTCAACAAATTATGAACATTTTTTGGTGGACAAAACCAAAACATTACAAGTAATGTTGACATTGTGCGCAAGAAGTTGGTGACACACCTCTGGTATCTACACCCACAATCGCTCCTCAATACATACCAAATAGGCTATTCCCCCATCTCCACATTGCCCCGGCCCTACACAATAGACAATTCTAATAAAGCTTGGCATGTACATGACTGGAGTCTCAAAATTTACACAATTGTCGTCTAAATACTGTTTCTGGTGATCATGGCCTAGTAACACGCGACGATAGACAGGGCACTGTAAACTCACCATGTACGCGAAATATACAGGGGTCTGCAATCACACCGAACCACCATCCACTTAATAAATTTGTATGTCATGACTTCGGCACCCCTAAATGAATGGAAATGACATTCTTAAACTTCAATTGTAACTCCAGTTTCTTCCCCTCCCCCCACTTCATTTTTGTTTTTGCTTAAGTGGGTCTTTTAAACAAGCAGGTGACTTCTTTTTATTCAGATGTGTTTATTGATGTTGGGAACTGGGTGCCGGTGTATCTTTTCAGTGTTCAGGGAATAAGCCACACAACCAAACCTTACCCGCGTACTTAATTGAGTTGTTGGGAGTAAAATAACATAAACTTTATCTTACTGGGTACCAACGACAGTAACTCTACACAGAGCAATGTGCTCTACACTACATTAATACCATCATAACATATAATGTTAATGTTATATAGAGTAAATATCGGCTCCATGCTACCGTAAGTAAATTTTAATAAACTAACATGTAATGAAAACGGATAAATCCTGTTCTCAAAATTTATTACGACGTAATATGTCTGCTTGTTCTAAGTGTAACAAATTTAAAGAAGATCGGCATACAGATTACTGTAGCATATAGACTTATGTATACTTGAAAATGATAAAAACGCAATCGATTTTGCAGTTTGATTGGGACTATCTAGCGCCACCTATAAAAAAAAAGTTATTACTGTATTGCAACCAACAGTCATACCCATGGAACAAGATACAATAATTTCATAATATAAAGAATTTCTTCTCCACTAGCAAAAAGAGCATAAAAACAGTAAAATATAAAATGTATTAATTATATCAATATACAAATTAGTAGGCCTACATTATTAATGTTTTTTACAGTAATAAATATTATTACCATTAATGTATAAAATACTTCCATGGTAAAAATACTATCATGCAATAATAATGCAATGGTCATACGATAACAATAGATAGATGTGATTTTTAAACTAGCAAAGAATCCAGTATGTTTAAACGGAAGGTGGGTACACCAAATTTACAAAGATAAGGGTGATGCTAGTGATATAACGAAGGGGTCGGACACACTATTGGGACGGTCACTTGTACATGTATGTTTCCTATTTCAATAGTTCTACATGGCATTATGTAGCCTATAAGGGTGTCTATAAAACGAAGAGTGAAGACCCAAAAACGAAGACCAATATTTTTTTCATTTTTTTATTTGAATGGTAATATACCAGGCTGTTACAAAATCAAAATTACGAGATTATTTGAACGTCTGTTTGTGAAATTATCAATGATCTTCCGAAAACAATGTCATCCATATATTAGAGCAGCGGCAAACGATCCCCATTGGATCTGCGCTTAACCATAGAGAAAATAGAATATCTATTTTCTCTATGGCCTAAACATCATGCGACATTTCATGAACTTTTTTAGCAGTAGACTGTTACAAAATCATAGTCGTAACACATGATTCGTTTGATCGGGATGATTCAATGATTCAGCGTCCCAAACCGCTTCATTGTCTGCTTACAATACAAATCACCATGAATCAGATGGTTTAAAAGGTACCGTACTATTGCAGTGGGGTCGAGTTGCTTCAGGTTTTTTGTTATGTTTTTGTTGTGGTCTTCTAGCGCTGAGTCACTAAGCACAGCTCTTTCATGGATGATTCCCTTCCGATTATCCAGGACATATTCTACGAAAATCCATAAGTGTAGTCGATGTGGAAGTCTAATGAAGAAAAGTATCCGTTGTTTGATTTGGAAAGTGTAATCATTAGAACAATGAGTCATGATTATTATTATCAATTTACAGAATTAAAAAGTGTTATTGGTTGAATCAGTGTTGAACATTCAAGCTTAATAATCAGTGAATTAATTTCTTCGGCAGGTAATTTAAAGTGCTTCCACATATAATTAAAAAACAATGTTGTAGACAGAATAGATACCTGAACGTTGTTCGGATCATTCTCTGAGTAAGCAAGTTTTATAAACAACATATGTATTATTAATGATTTTTTCTTTTTTTTTTCCTATCATAAACATGAGGAGGTAAAAATGTTATTCTAATTAAACCTTAATTGTCGAGGTCTCGAATACTTTTTCTCGTTCTAATTTTCTGTTAAATCTAATAACGTATTTAAATATACAAATGAGCAATTACATTCTCAAGTATATATTATTTGATTTAGGTGATTTTATAGCCTTCATTTAAATCATGGATACCTTCATGTGTAAATGAAAGACGGGATACAATTTATAAGTAAATAATGTAGCAAAGTTCTGCTTATAATTTGGCTTATTTTCAGTAAAATATAAAAGTTCATTTGCCGCCCTCTGCCATAAGTGGGCGGAACCTCAGCGGAACGAGTAGGCTATTTGCATAGTGTGAAGTCACCGTCGCGATGCCCACACCTCCTCGCTATCGCTCGCGAAGAAGCTTTGTAGGATCAATAAAGGCTAGAATCAGCAGCACTATAACATTAGTTGCGCAGGTTACCCTCCAGAGGAAGGACCGAAGTTGATAAAATATTTTATACAACCGGTAGCTTCTCTCATAGGATTTATATTAATTTACTTGAAGTGTGTAACATCATTATATTTCTTGGATATTTACTTCGACTACAGCAAGAAACAAGCGAAATTCGACCATCAATCGATAAGTCGATATCAGCATTGAGTGGAAGATGCTGGTGGTTGGTCTTGCATAGAAATACATAAACTTAAATATACATCAATGGTTTTGACTAGTTATACTAAAGATTTTCGAGACTTGCATTCAACTCGACATAAAGCAATGCCTCCTTACGTACAGGCCTCAAATTCTGATAACAGCTGGATTTGTAAAACAGATGAGATGCCAAACGAAAAAGTGAAGGAGATAGACTCAGAAAAAGTACCTGAAAGGACAGTCAAATGTGTCTTGCTCGGCGATGGTGCTGTTGGCAAGACTAGCTTGGTCGTAAGCTACACGACAAATGGATACCCTACAGAATATGTTCCAACAGCATTTGACAATTATTCAGGTAAACATGCTTTGTAATATTAAAGGTGTTGACTTCTATCTCTTCAGCATCATATTAATTTCGGTATGAATGTTGAGGCCCTTGTTTGTAATGTTGGCCTTGATAATGTTTTTTCCTGAGTTGTGAGTGAACATTGAATGAAATGTACTTTAGGCCTAGTGCCTACTGATTTTTACTTTTAATAATTAATGTTAAACTACTGTATTGTAGCCTGAACTGGAGTAGATAGTTTAGTAGAGTAGGCTAGCTAGGCCTATAGTATGACTGAGATTATCACTTATAAACTTATTTTAAAAATTGAATATTTAATACACCCAGTCCCCTTCATAAATATTGGCAATAATTAAGGCTTAAAATCGAAAGGTCATTGAGAAATGACATGCAATGATGCAAGCAATGTGACAACATTAATTATCCAATTGATAGGTGTATCAATCACTAAATACTAAAAAGAGCATGATATCCCGACGTGAGGTTTATTTAATTAATAACAAACAATTATGATTTCCAAAATAATAAAAAATTGGTTTTACTTGAATTCATTGTGATTGCAATATGCAGTAGAGGAATTGGTGTTCTGTTTCGCTGCTTTCTTACAGCATTAGCGTTGGCAATAATTTAAGAGGGAGTAGGCTTTTGGGACTTTTTCATGTGTAGGCTAATGCTTTTTGAAAAGGTTCACTTTATTTATGCCAAGCTTGTCAGGGGAATTAAATCGAAGGCATGGAGTGGGCTTTGCGGGTGTTTTTGAGAAAACGCATCAACCTAGACCTTACGTCTGAGGTAATTATGGTAAACCACCAGTGTCTATTATAGTATTAAAATAATTAATAATTAAGATATGCATACATGTGTACAGTTAAAATAATGTTGACGTTTATTCCCATCTGTCTATAGATATTTATAAAGTTTGCCCTGGACCTCTTGACAGCACCGTTGGATGCCACAGGACAAGCTGAGAAAGGCAGTCCTCTGGCCTCTAATTTGACAGCCCAGTCTCCTATATTCCTGCTAATGATAGTTCTCAAATTCTCTAATTGAAAATTCTCTTTTTTTCTGTAGTTGTATTAAAAGTTGACAGCCAGCCTGTGAAATTTCAACTCTGTGACACAGCTGGGCAGGTAAGATATATTTAAATTAAATATTAAAATAAATAGTAAATATTAAAGCAAATATTTTACAGTTAAACACAAAAAATATAATACACAGCTAGACACCAACCATAAAATTGCAGGTGTGCAGTATTGTGTAGTCTCTAAATGAAAGTGTTAACTTGGTGAAACATCATTTTTTAAATGATACTAATAAATATTGATCTAAAATAAAACACCGTTGTTTTGGCCGGTGAGTTATTAGTCCTATGATTAGAAGTTTGATATTGATTGGCTATGCTACTGGGTTGGAAAATAGCGTGGCGTTAATTCGAGTAATATTGATTTCCCTTTAACAAACATGTTGCCTGTGTAGCGAAAGATGCAACATTCTGCCTACGTGGTTTCTGTATTTAGACGGTAATCAAATTTCTATTTAATTTCCACATGATTTCATTAATAATTGGTCTTAACATTCTTCACTTTTGTAATTTGTATAATTTCAAGAGAAATAGTTTGGAATTGATACTGAAACTTGCACCATTATTGAATTTGATTGTAAAGAGAGAGGAAAATGGAAAATAAAACACCTTTTTCCAATTTTAAGCCAATTTTATGCCTGACTGGGAAATCATGTTAAATCCAATTGGTGTTTACCTGTGTGCAAATCAGAATGCACTGGTGGTATTTGGGAATAATGATCAAGATAACACCTGGGAGCCACAAGGCCTCACACTTCCTGAAACACACCTTGTATAGCCTGTGGCAATATTGACTCAAGTTTTATAACAACTGTTGACTCTGTTTTAATAATATTTATGGTATAAAATGATATAGTATAAACAGTAAGGATTTTCCAACACTACATAAATAAATTATTACAAAATTATTAAAAAAGATAGAAATTAATGTATTATTAAACTACATTATAAAATACTTAACAAGCATTATTGAGGAAGAGTATATTTACATATCTTAAACTATTAATTGCCGGTGTTGATAATAATTATTATGATAATGATTATTATCTTCTTAACATTTACTGTCTTGTGACATTGCCCTTTTTACACTTTGTTTCCAATTTGTTTCTGTTAAATGCTAGAAATTTTCCCACATTTGAAAATAAGTTACAGGTGATGAGAATGATAGAATTTAATATACAGTATAATTAACAGATGTTGTGGAAGAGTAAATTTACTTTTAGCAAATCTGATAACCAGTGACCAGTGACTATGATTACTCAATGGTCATCACCATCATTATTATATGGCTGACCTTTGTGGTCAAATATAGAACACTGACCTATATCTTTGATGACACTGACGCCCATCAAATAGAATAGTGTGATTTCATAGTCAGTTCATTGAGAGATTCTTTCACGCTGTACCTTGATCGCCAAGTCTCGATAAATATAAACATTGAACAACAATTGTCCCTCCACAAGAACCTAGCTATTCACAAATTAAAATAGAAATATAGCAAGGTATTGTATGTCACAGTGGTATGTACATAATCTGAAGTGATTCTCTTAAGAGCTTGTAAAAAGGAAGTTATAATGTTTACTTTCTCCTTATTCTGTTGGATTAAGGTCACGACCAAGCAGATAAATTCAGTCACTGGCTTACATTTAGTTCACCTCTGTATGGTGTGATTTCTGCTGGTATCATTTCTCAGTTCTGGTGGTATTTTTTTTTTAAGTATCTGTAGTGTAGGTAAATAATGGCCATCAGGGTTTTTAATTCATTGCTACGATTTCCCACATAATACAACAAAAGCTTCATAGTCGAGTGAGGTAGTTAACATTGTCTGAAACTGGTTTGTCCGGATATATTAGCGCGAGCCTACACAATGCAAAAACCTGAGTTTGTGTTTGCTAATCTGAAAACACTAACTTCCTAATTCTACACAAAGGAAGTTTGAAGAGCTTTCTCCACAGTGTGAATAAATTTTGCCGCTAATTGGGTCCTTATATTCACTCTTGTATTTTTATGCAGCGTTTGTAATTATTTCCTTAAACTGTATTTTACAATAACTTTTATTGTAAAGGATGTAGTGTATCATTAGATAGTGTGATTTATACACAATTGATTACATATAATGAATCACTGATTTATACCATTGCCCTGGTTAAAACCACAAACCACATTATTTAGATTTGACCTGGTGCTGTACTATAATCCAAATTAGTAATAATATTATGGTAACTAAACGTATACTCTGTGGTTAAAATTCTGAAACTTTTCAGGAACATTGAATTGCTTAATTAAAAAATTAAAAACAAAAATTACTTTTTTTTAATTACTAAGAAAGTACTTTTATAGGCCTATATGATTACCAGCCACACAAAGAATATAAAAATATTTTCTTTTTGTAATTTTTATTTAAAAAATATTTCTTATATATAAAAAAAAAAAATTTGCCAGCCAAGTAACTGTATTATATAAAAAAAAGTAACTAAAATAAAGAAACATATTTTCTTTTTCTGATTTTAATTAAACGATACTTCTTATAAAATAATCCATGAAGTTCCTGACTAAAACCCGTTTTACTAGCAACAGCATGTCCATATTTGGTAATAGTAGTTTACCCTTTGTTCAAATATTAACTACCCTGCAAATTCTAATATTCAGGCAGATACTGTATTATAGCATGATTATAGTTGCTTGATATGAATGGCTTATCTAATTCTTAAGATTCTTGCTGAGATAGCACAACAGATGGTAGAAACCTCTTGGGTTTTTATATTATAAATCCCTCAGAAACACCGTAAGTCATCACGGTCAAATTCATCACGGTCAAATTCTATAGAACTTTAAACAAAAAGAATAACACTGAATGAACTGATGTTTATACGAAGGGTGTGCAAATTGCTGTTAAGGGACCTGCAAGACAAAAGAAAAGTAAAACTATTATGTTAATGAAGTTACATAGCAATGATTTAAATGTTTTTGTGGATAAAATAATTAAATGCAATCTTCTTTCTTTTTTTCAGGATGATTTTGATACTCTACGACCATTGTGTTATCCAGAAACAGACGTGTTCTTACTATGTTTCAGTGTTGTTTCACCAACATCATATATTAACGTACTAGAGAAATGGTTTCCAGAGGTTCATCGGCATTGTCCCAAGACTCCAATCATTTTAGTCGGAACACAATGTGACTTAAGGACTGACGTTAATGTCCTCATAGACTTAGCAAAAAACAATGAACGCCCGGTAACGGAAGCCGAGGCTACGCAGAGGGCAAAGATCATGAACGCTGTAGCGTATTTAGAATGTTCTGCCCTCACCCAGCATAACATGAAAGAAGTGTTTGATGCTGCAATGTTGTCCGCACTTAAGATCACACAGCCTCCAAGAAGGAAGAGCAAACTAGGCAAGAAATACTTAAAATCACCACAGAAACAAAAACCATCCACATGGAAGAAACTTTGCTGTATCGTCTGAATGAGATCACAAACATTATCACAAATGGATGCAATTCAAAGAATCAACTTCACCAACATTCCACAGCCGCAAGATTGCTACTAGCTGGTGTAGATGTAGCAAGACTTCAGTGGTGGGGAAATGGTGATCGTGAGGAAGAGACAGATGGCGCTGAGAATTAAACAATTTTGCAATCATATTAATTACAATTTTGATTCGTGTACAAGCAACTATGCAAAAGATTGTACCGAAACCAAGAGTAAAAGCTTACCGTACCTGTGCATTTTGCAGGTTTTTAAAATTTAATCTGTTTATTTGTTAGGTTGAATTATGAAGCAACTCTTCTTAATTATTGATAATCTGTATTTATAACTGTATACTGAGACAATTCAAGAAATAATTAATATTTTCTTTCAAAAGCCATTTTGATTGGACCAAACATGATATACAATTCCAAACGTCACAGCTTACCTAGTGAAATCAGTGTGGCTGCAATTATAATAATGAAATTACATGTATAAGTATGTCCTTGATAATGTTTTGTCTCAATAATTTCAAACATTAAGGAATCATAAATAAATGTTTTTATTCATATTTTGATTCCTATTGTACATTAACTGAGAACCAGCTTGTAAATATGTTTAAAGATATGAGATTTATTTATTTTGTGGGAAGTAGTAGACTATACATATTTGTGAAAAAAAAATGTAAAAAATATGAAAGAACTTTGTTGGGATATTTTTAGGGGGAATTTTCATGATTGGATGAGCAAATATTGTTTGTCCTGTTTTGCTTAAGGTCAAATATTAAACACCTGTTTTTCATTGCATCCATTATCAATTTTAAAAATTTAATTCTGCCAAACAAAATGTATCATTTGTGTTTGCATATTACTATACAGTTTCACGTGACAAATACCTGTGATTTGCCATATATAGGCATGGTGATGTCATATCGCACCCAAATATGGAAAAACCACTTGTATTGAACCTGGATGAGACACTTTTTTTTTTTATTTGGCCAATGTGATTAATATTTTGTTAATTAAATTAAATTTCCATCAGTCATGTTGGTAGCCTACAATTGTTCATATCTGCTTTTGTTGTAGAAAAGCAAATGAAACTATTTTTATAGATAAGAGAAACATAAGACCAACTACAAATTTTATATATTATTAGTCCAAACTTACATTCATATTACCCTAACTATAGGCTTCATTAATGGCAGTATTATGTCAACAGCTTGTAAATACTATTTTACAGCATAAAGAAAACATCTACATGTTATATAACCGGCATTGTATCGCTAGCAAAGCTGCTATTCAAGGTGCTGCTCTAAGCCCTGTGACATCAATGGGGCTTAACATGTGCTTCATCCGGTGTCATGAATTCACTCAGATTTGTCTGCTTGAAACAAGGTTTTTACATGTGTCACAGTAAATAAGTTATTGTTGCCTGATTAGACCAAAACACACATTATTATCCTTCTGTTCAGTGTTATTGTTTACAATTGTGGAGCTCATTTATTGTTGATGATTATTCTCACTTTGTATCGAAGCATTAAAAAGTGCATTGTTGAAAAGATAAATGATTTTGTTTGAAGTCTGCTTTGTGTTGTGTACTTACGACTCAGTCCAGTTGAGAAATTTGTAGTCTGGTCATGAAATAGTCTAGGTTGGCCCACACCTAGCATGAAATTTAACTTATCCTAGACAATTCATCCCAGGCAAGCTACTTGGGGTGATCCTTGGTTGACCTTGAATTAACATTTCACTTCTCACCCAAGCATCTGGTCAAGATGTGACCAAACACAGCTAGTGACACAATTTCCACTGACTGAGTTCGGTCAACCCATGTAGTGTGGACATTCAACATATTTATAACAGGTGGGAGAATCCACCAGGCTTGGGTCATGCTGGTCTTGAGTGCTAGTCTGAATGTGGCCTTTGATTAACTAAAAGATGATACTGAAGCAGCCAGATAATTGAGGAAACTTTAATACTATACATGTAAAATAGCCAATCAGGAACTGAAAGCTCAGTGTGTTTACATAATCAACATGCATGAGGATGAATGATGAACTGTGAGCAAATAAATTGTTAGTATACATGGCAAAAATTAGTGGGCTTCTTTGATGTTTTGATGCGTGTGCAAAATGAGCTAAGCTAGCATCTCAATCTTTTTTTCAAAACAGTTAATCACACATATATATGATAATTAAACCTACAATATTATCACATAAGGTATTTATATTGTGATTTAATAACCAAACTCAATATTTAACAAATTACTGATAAGAAAAGTCAACGAGTTTACACGAAAATAATAAAATCTCACAGTACTACAAATTATAATTTGTATTATGATGTGCAAGGAAATTCGGCCAAGATAAATGCATACATCTGATGTTTGTTTCATTGAGATTAAAACTAATTTGTTTTAAAATGCATCTGTTGCTACACTACACAGGCATATTCAAAATTCACTTCTGCGAGGCCCAGAATATCTCGAGATATAAGTTATATAGTTATTACCACTTGAAAAGCTAAACAAACTAAACATAAACATTTATGTTTACACAGCACTCGCTTCACAAGTCAATTTACTACACTCACGGACTGCATAAAGTAAATATTGCGTGCATGCACCGAATAAAGCTAGCGAATAATTGAAGCATCATTGATTCCCCAGCTGATCAATAATCAAAGATTAGAATTTCTGCCGTGAAATGTCAAGTAATCCAACCAAATATAATATGTATATAAATAGTTTCACAAAATGTTTAAAGGTTACGATGTATAGCAGATAATGTCCGTCATAAAATTGGGAAACTTAAATTAAAACATGCAATAGCTCATTTCAAAGGTTCTGAATACATTATTAAATTCCAATGAAACAACGATAAAATCAAATCTTATTATACTGATTTAAAAACTTCAAAAACCCTTATTTATCTGTTACAAAATATATTAGGTAAACAAAAAAGCCTTAAATTGATCACCAACCATTTAGGGATATATGCTAAAGAAAACAGTCCATGTATTACTTGTTTATTTAAATGGCTAGAAAACTATTTCATCATTCAAATTTTTAATTGAAATCTATTGATTTATCTTACTTACCAGGGGCGGATCCAGGAATGTCCGAAAGGGGCGGGGGGTTGATCAAGAGCCAACACTACCCTAGGGAGTCCAGGGTGGGTGCATACCCCAGGAAATGTTTGTTTTCTAGACAACCCAGAAAAAACTCTAGAGGCATTTGGGGCAAACAATAATTTCTGTTTTTGTTGTATTTTTTCTAAAAGGGGGAGGGGGGGCCGGAGCCGGACCAGTCCCGCCACCCACCCTAAATCTTCCCTGCTTACTGTGGTCCTAATATATATACAAACTAAGCAATTCAAATATTAAATTATATTTTAGTGCAAGGAAAAATTGTAATGTATGCATTGAACACTTAGATGTGAGACGCCACTAGTAGCAAGTATTGTAGGCAAAGTAACCCTTCTGTATTTCTAATTAAAATATGCTGGCTTCTTCCCAGTCGCTCAACAAGCGTTTGTCTGGCAGTGTGAAGATGATTTGATATGCATTCATAGGTTGTCTGCTTAAAATAACCCGTGCCTGGAATCTAGGCCTGTATTGATTCATTTAAGTGGCAGCCAAGGCATTGAAGAATGAAATGATATACATAATAACCATAATGTATAACAATGATAATAATAAATATATTATATAACAATAAAATGCATATTGTTATGTAAAGCACCTACAGGGATCTGTGATTCTTTAGGAGCTACTGTACATAAATATGGTTTTATTATTATTGTTAGTATTTCTACTTTATATTATTTTTATTATAATTGTTATGTAATAATGATATATAATAATATCAATAAAGCTGATATATAATCATCATCATCATTGCTCCATCAGTCACATGTGACTATGGATAGCATTCTTCGTATGGGCACAGCTATGTCTTGTTTTTGCTTTGTTAGGTTGGTTAATTTATTCAACTATATAATTTATATTTTGTTTGTTGCTTATTCATTTATTTTGCTTCATTCATTCTTTATATTATGATATATAACATATATATCAATAAAATTAATATATAATAATATATAACAATAACAATATGTTAACATAATAATATAACATAAAAATAAGAAAAATATAAGAAGTATAGATAGACATGCCATTCTCTTGGGTGCCAATATTTTGACTATTTATTTATATTCATCTTCAGGAATGAAATAATTTACTTGGAATGCTTTAATATAGCATGATATAGCATAATTTGTACAACAAAATTACAATGATTTAAGCTTTATTATGTAATAAATTTATTACAAATAACATACATTTATTTTACATATATTCAGACTGGAAAGAAATATCTACAGGGGACAGCATTGTACCGGTATATGACAATTATAATCAACATAATTTATCAAGTTACTAAAATTCATTACATCAGGCTGACAATGAGAGACAGGTTGCTATGGTTTAGCTGAAAAACCCTTCTTGACTGAACCCCTTTCTAATAAACCAAAATCACTGACCCCTATTGAATAAAAAATGCCATCAAATGATAATTTATTTCGGGGGGAGGGGGCCATCCAGAATTTTTCAAACAGGAGGGGGGAACAACAGTTTCAGAATAAACAAGTGAGTAAAACATAACACTGATATGCATTGAAATTTTTAAAATTTAGTGTCAAAATTGGGGGAGGGGGATATGCTCCCTTTGTCTCTCTACTGGATCTTCCCCTTCCCTTGCCTCCCTTACAACAGCTGTTCCTATGGACTCCACTGGGGTGCACAGTCTCCCTTGATTTCTAGTCACTCATAGCCATACAGGTGTGTACCTTGCCTCTCAATCATAAATGTACACATTTATAATCCTACTGGGAATTAATGTATATTACAATGTGACCACATGACCTAAAGGTATTTTAACTGTAGGGTAAGCTTTGTCATTTATAATAAATTAATAATTTTAATATACTGTATCTACATTTCAACAAAGGAGACTGGTGGCTACAAATCAGCTATGGCATGCTGTAAGAGTTAATCAACATCGGTTTCAGCAGGCAAACATCCATAGAACCATACTGAGAATATTCACTGGTAGGAAGTACTAAGTACGGCATTTTGACTTCATTATTTCTCGTTTCATTCCTGAACAGGAAGCCTGATAATATAAGTAATAAAAAAAGAATTGGAAAATCAGTCATTCATGTAATTCAACAAGGATTGCAAAAAAATTAATTTGTCATTTCAATACATTAGAACATGGAAAAATGCACAGACCCTTAAATTGGCCTCTGAGTCAATTTAATGTCTGAATCAGTGAAGGTGCGTAGTTTCAATCTGTGTTTAATTGGATGTTAATATAGTAGTAACTTATTAAATCCTTCTGAATAAAAGGAAATATAATTAAATAAGAAGAAAGAATACAAAATTATTTGTTCAGGCTAATTGCCTAATTCTCTTTCCTGGAAAATTATTCCATGATCTTTAATGCCAAATAAATATTATTATTATTATAAATAAGCAATTAAATGTTGTAATTCAATTTTTCATGGTTTTCCAAATTAAGACAATCCAAGTAGGCCTAATGTACATTCCTATGGTTTCAACCCATAAATTGATGATCTTATTAATTAGAGACAGTAAACATATTATTTTTCTAGTAATACAGTAATGTAAAGTGCATAGAAGAAGCCTTGTTGTTATGTTTTGCTATATAATATAAGTCTAACATGTCATTATGATTATTTTTAATTGGCCAACATGCATTTTCTGTTCTGGCTAAATCTCATAATAATTCATTACCACTTTATGTATGCCATACATCTAATTTATTTATTTTTTTAAAAAAGATTTGAAAACATTTAGGAATGATGTAAACTTGGCCTTATTTTCCTTATTTATCTAGTGCCTTTGACTAAATTTTAATTGGTGCTTTCTTATTATATTAACCTAAAAAAAATAAATAATTACATAATAATAAAAAATGCAATATTAAAGTATTACTAGATAATAATATTTTATGACAATTTTAAATTGACCCATCAACAATACTCAGATACATTAGTTTTGTCATCTGGTTAAGTAATGTTTTGTTCTCACACAATCTCTCCAGCATATATTCTGCCAAGTAAACAATTCTATTGTATTACATACTGACCACTCCCTTGCACAATTAACCATGTTACATAACAGCCTTACTATTGACCAATCAGGCAATAGGTTTATACAGACAAACATGATTGACAAGTGTCAGAACCATGAGTGACAGAAGATATCTTGCTTTTCCATTGTTTTCATATAAACTTCTTTCATGTCTTCATAAATTCCCTTCACTCAAAATACCAGCCTTCATTTATATCTAGTAAAACCATACTTTTAAAAATGAAATTGAGAAGATAATGGTATATCCTCCCATCATAGGTTAGTTTTTATCTGCAATCACTCTCTTTTTCCTAATGATGACATAATTAATGACAGTCCCCTGATGAAGTCCACTGAGTGGACGAAAGCTAGAGAATAAATTCTATACAAGTATTTCTCCTATATTGTT